AACTGCGTCCTGGTCGGGGACGGCGCGGTGGGGAAGACCAGCCTGGTGGTCAGCTACACCACCAACGGGTACCCCGCCGAGTACGTCCCCACGGCGTTCGACAACTTCACCGGTAACGGGACCCAGAACCGGAGCGTTTTTTTTTTGCGCATCAGAACACCGGACAACCGGGCAGGGCGCAGACCATAACCAGCCTGATTCCCTTTTTCTTTTCTTATCTTTCTAGTCATGGTTGTGGTGGACGGCAAACCAGTCAGAGTCCAGCTGTGCGACACCGCTGGACAGGTGAGCTGAGGCCGTTTTTCCTCCCTTTTAAAGATATCACATCACATTTGTGAACGTGTGGATGGAATCAGATGATGTTTTTTTTTTTATCCCCCCCTTCCTGTGCTATGTCCCTGTGACAGAAATGGGGGCTTGAGGATGGCTCAATTAACGTAAGTTACTATGAGTCGGTTATTTTTTTCATTTTAGGGTGAAAAGTGTTTGTGACGCCTGCCCCCTAAAGCCTGCTTTTAGTCATGGACTCCAGTTTAGCCCCCCTGTAGGACTTAAACCCCCTCTTAGCCTGTACTCCGTCGCCCTCCTCTGGTTAAGGGGCTCTGCACAAATTCAGCCTCAGTGTCCTCCTTTCCCTTTTAGAATTCTCCCTTTATTTGTAAAGAAAACATCTCCAAGAGTGAAATGACGTCAGTCCGTTTTTAGCCGCTTTCCACATAAAGAAAGTAGAATCTGGCTGAATTATTTTCAGGATGGCACTGGTTTTCCTGTCCCTGTACAGTGTATGACACCATACAGCCCCACAATCAGAGATTTAATTTGGAGTTTTCTTTGTAGTCTAAACGACTGCTGGAATGAATTCAATCACATCGTTTAGATTTCAAACATTTCAAGAGAATGTTTAAAGTGGATAAGATCCTCACAGATCCATTAATCGCTTAATTTCTCAAATCGAGGACATGCAAGAAGGATAAATCCAAGTTTGAGTTGTCAGGTTCAGATCAAGGACGGCTGGGATTGACTCGGTCAAGACGCCTCAGTTTCATACCTGTTGATGATCTTAGTGGACGGTGGACTGTTTAGTGTCTGTAGCAGGTCTTTGCCTGAGTTTGGTTGGTGTTTTAGGCATTTTGTCTACCATTTGGATGAGTTTGTTTGCTAAATCTGCCGGTGCCTCAGCCTCCTGCCCCCTCCGGACTGGGCTAGCTGGTTAGAGTACTTTTTGGTGATAGGGGACATAGTCGTGGTGGTGTGAGGAGCACTGATGGCTCCATAGAGGGGGTACTACTCTGGGATAGAAGCGATCACTGTCCAGTTTCCTGGAGGTTATAAGCTGATGACCTCCAGATGGTCAGCGCTGCTCACTGGTCTATATGGAGATCGTAGTACTGGAAGTTTAGCTGTCGAATTTAGGGGAATCATTCTCCGAGCCTTCTGCTTTTGTTCGCAGCACAAGTTTCTTGTCTTTACTTTGAATAAAATCAAGAAACGCACAAGGCTCCATGGTCTTAGATTTGTGGGGAAACCACGGGATGGGACGGAAAGTCAAACTGTGTTGAATTTTCCTGCTTAGATGATCTATGTCGTCATTCATTGTCATCCATGGGATGAAATACCATCTTCTGATCTCAAAGTGCTCCTTTCCTCTTCTTTTTCCTCTAATTTTTTTCCTTTCATAGCTTTAAAAATCAAATATATGTGAATTATATCCTCTCACTGGTGCCAAGTCCCCAAATCTAGCTGGAAGTTCTCGCACTAAACTTACCACCCCCTCAGTCCGAGTATGGCTTTTCCTTACTTTTCGTGAGATTGGGAAGCCCTTAAAGACTATGTTGTTGTCTATAATTGTTAATATATGTGACTTTGTGTGGTGCTCGTTGTTGTGGTGCAGGATGAACTGGAGCTCCTCCGGCCTCTGTGCTACCGGAACGCCGACGTCTTCCTCCTGTGCTACAGCGTGGTCCGCCCCTGCTCGTTCCGGAACCTGACCAGCAAGTGGGTCCCCGAGATCCGCCGGCATTGTCCCGGAGCGCCCCTGATCCTGGTCGGCACTCAGCTGGACCTGCGAGAGGACGTCCAGGTCCTGATCCAGCTGGCCCAGAACCAGCAGCGGCCGGTGGGGCCGGAGGAGGGCCGGAGGCTGGCCCAGGAGCTGGGGGCGGCGGGCTTCGCCGAGTGCTCGGCCCTGACCCAGAAGAACCTGAAAGACACTTTTGACTCGGCCATCCTAGCCAGCTTCCAGCAGGCGGAGAGCACCGGCGTCCAGCAGCAGAGCCTCGCCCTGACCAGGAAGACCCCCGACAAAATCAAGACCCTCGCGGAAACCTGGTGGAGAAAGATGAACTGCCTGATGGGAGAGCAGAGCCCTGAAGTCAAATGAAGATCTGCCAACACATCGTGGCTCCAGCGAGCTTCAAACCTGAACACACAAGTACTTTCTTTGATGGTTCATAGATGATTATTTATTTATTCAGACTATTTATTCAATAGAAGTTTATTTATTAAATGTAAATCTACTATTTTGACTACCAGTATTGATGAAGCTTTTGCTATGGTTTATTAGCTCCTGTTCTTCTAATTCCTAACTATAAAATGAATAAATGCTCTGTAGCAGCAGATTTTTTGTCCATTTGCTTGCACAGGTTTTGCCTTTTATAGTTCAAACAATGAACAGAGTCATATACTCAACTCTTAGATCCTCTTGACAACCAACGTTTAACAGGACAAAAATGTATTTTCTCCTCATTAGTCAGTTCTGAAATCAGACCAAAGACACTGAGCTTCACCCTGAAAACTTGAAGAATCTATTCTAGTTTAAAGCTCAGAGGCCTGCTCAGCTTTCCTCTGATTCAGTCATCCTCCTGAAGCCACCTCTAATAGAAGCAGACAGGACCACCTGGACCGGATTAGCCTGATTTCACACTCGCACCTTAAGCAGGAGAAGCTAACTGCTGTGGTTTTTCCAGTGTGAACTGAGCTTTGAAGCTCACAGGGAGGGACTCTTTCAGATGAAAAAAAGGGTGGGCTTATGCTATGGGTTACCTCATTCTTAACTGATAACTAAACCTCATGTTGTTGGTAC